GAAGGAATAATGGAAAGGAGAAGGGGCACCCCAAAATTTGGGGGAGGTCCTCAAGGTCTGAGGGGGTCCCCAAAATCATGGGGGGGTCCCCAAAATCTGATGGATCCCCAAAATCGGGGAGGAGTTCCCAAAATTTGGGGGGAATTTGTGAATATCTGGGGGAAGGTTGTGGTACAAAGGGGAGGTGCTGGGGGAAGGAATAATGGAAAGGAGAAGGGGCACCCCAAAATTTGGGGGAGGTCCTCAAGGTTTGAGGGGGTCCCCGAAATCATGGGAGTGTCCCCAAAATCATGGGAGGGTCCCCAAAATCTGGGGGATCCCCAAAAATCGGGGAGGAGTTCCCAAAATTTTTTAGGGAGGTGGTGGATACCTGGGGGAGGGTCGTGGTACAAGGAGGTGAAGGAATAATGGAAAGGAGAAGGGGCACCCCAAAATTTTGGGGAGGTCCTCAAGATTTGGGGGGGGTTCCCCAAAATTTTGGGGGTACCTTGGGAGGGGTTCCTGATATTTGGGGGGGAGCTGAAGCCCCCTCAATGAGTTTCTCTCCCTTCCACAGTGCCTCAGTGATGGTGACAAAAAAATGGTGAGAGGGGGCTTAATTTGTTGGGAGGGGGTATTAATTAGAGCAGCTTTAATTGGGGGGTTTGATTGGGTTGTTAGATTGGGGTGTGTTAATTGGGGGGGGTTAATTGGGGGGGTTAATTGAGGGGGATTAATTGAGGGGTCTTGGGGGGGTTAAATTGGTTTTTACTTGGGTTTAATTGGGGTGTTTTAATTGAGGGGTTTAATTGGGGGGTTTAATTGGGGGGGTTAAATGGAGTTATTAAATTAGGGGTGTTAATTGGGGAGGTCTTTAATTGAGGGAGTTAAATGGAAATATTAAATTAGGGGTGTTAATTAGGGAGGTCTTTAATTGGGGGAGTTTAATGGAGTTGTTAAATTAGGGGTGTTAAGAAGGTCTTTAATTGAGGGAGTTAAATGGAGTTATTAAATTAGGTATTTTAATTAGGGAGGACTTTAATTAAGGAGATTTAATGGTGATTTTTGAGGCTGTATTTGGTATATTTGTAATTCAGGCTAAGGTTTAATTAGGGGGTTTTTAATTAGGGGGTATTTAATTAGGGGGTATTTAAGGGGGCGGGTGTTTAATTAGCGGGATGGATTTTGAGGTCAAATTTGAGGGGATTCCCCCAAATTTTGGGGCGCTGACCCCCATTTTCGCCACCTCCAGCCCAGCACCATCGTGCACGGCCGGGAGAAGGAAAAGAAGATTGTGTGGGTGACAAAAAACCCCCAAAAAATAAAGAATCTGAGCAATTCCCCAGAGTCTGTGCTTCGTTTTGGGGAGGAATTTTCCCCCTCAAATTCCCCACTCTTTTCCCCTCACATTTCCTTTTTTTTCCCCTCAAATTTCCCACATTTTTCCCCTCTCATTCCCAACTCTTTTCCCCTCACATTTCCTTTTTTTCCCCTCACATTTCCTTTTTTTTCCCCTCTCATTCCCAACTCTTTTCCCCCCACATTTCCTTTTTTTTTCCCTCAAATTTCCCACATTTTCCCCCTCACATTCCCCACATTTTCCCCTCACATTTCCTTTTTTTTCACCCCCATCACATTTCCCACCATTTTCCCCCTCAAATTTCCCACTCTTTTCCCCTCACATTTCCTTTTTTCCCCCTCAAATTTCCCACATTTTTCCCCTCTCATTTCCCATTCTTTTCCCCTCACATTTCCTTTTTTTTCACCCCCATCACATTTCCCACCTTTTCCACTTTGTCTTTTCTTCTCTTTTCCCTTCGTCTTTCCTGGCTCTGTATCCACTCGTGGATCTTGCTTTTTCTCCCATTTCTCTTCATTTTCTCCCCTCACATTTCCTGCCCTTTTCCTCCTCAAATTTCCCACTCTTTTTCCCCTCACATTTCCTTTTTTTTAACCCCATCACATTTCTCACCCTTTTTCCCCTCATATTTCCCCCCTTTTTCTCCCCTCACATTTCCCGCTCTTTTCTCCTCATATTTCTTCCTCTTTCCCCCTCACATTTCCCACCATTTTCCCCCTCTCGTTTCCCACTTTTCCCCCCTCACATTTCCATTTTTCCCCCTCACATTTCCTGCCTTTTTCTCCCCTCACATTTCTCTTCATTTTCTCCCCTCATGTTTCCCACCCTTTCTCCCCTCACATTTCCTGCCCTTTTCTTTCCTCATATATCTTCTCCTTTTCCCCCTCACATTTTCCACAATTTCCCCCTCTCATTTCCCACACTTTCCCCCTCACATTTCCTTTTTCCCCCCTCACATTTCATTTCTCTCCTCATGTTTCCTTCCCTTTTCTTCCCTCACATTTCTCTTCTTCTTCTCCCCTCACATTTCTTCTCCTTTTCCCCCTCACATTTCCCATAATTTCCCCCTCTCATTTCCCACACTTTTCCCCTCACATTTCCTTTTTTTCCCCTCATGTTTCCCCCCTTTTTTCCCCTCACATTTCCCGCCCTTTTCTCTCCTCTCTTTTCCCGCCATTTTCTCCCCTCACATTTCCCACTCTTTTCCCCCTCATGTTTCCCACCCTTTTTTTCCCCTCCTGACAAGTTTCCCACTATTTTTTTCCCCTCACATTTTCTACCCTTTTCTCCCTCACATTTCTCTTCTTTTTCTCCTCTCACATTTCTTCCCCTTTTTCCCCTCACATTCCCCACTCTTTTCCCCTCACATTTCCTTTTTTCCCCCCCCACATTCCCCACATTTTCCCCCTCACATTCCCCACTCTTTTCCCCTCACATTTCTTTTTTTTCCCCCCTCACTTTTCCCCTCACATTTCCTTTTTTTTCGCCCCCATCACATTTCCCACCTTTTCCACTTTGTCTTTTCTTCTCTTTTCCCTTCGTCTTTCCTGGCTCTGTATCCACTCGTGGATCTTGCTTTTTCTCCCATTTCTCTTCATTTTCTCCCCTCACATTTCCTGCCCTTTTCCTCCTTAAATTTTCCACTATTTTCCCCCTCAAATTTCCCACTCTTTTTCCCCTCACATTTCCTTTTTTTTCCCCCCTCACATTTCCCCCCTTTTTCTCCCCTCACGTTTCTCTTCATTTTCTCCCCTCACATTTCCCGCTCTTTTCTCCTCATATTTCTTTCCCTTTTCCCCCTCACATTTCCCACCATTTCCCCCCCTCATTTCCCACTCTTTCCCCCTCACATTTCCATTTTTCCCCCTCACGTTTCCCGCCCTTTTCTCCCCTCACATTTTCTGCCTTTTTCTCTCACACATGCTGCTTTTTTCCTCTCTTTTCTCACCCTTTCCCCCCTCACACTTCCCACACTTTGCCCTTCACGTTTTTTCCCCATTTTCTCCTCTTTTCCCCATCCCTCCCCTTTTCCCCTCAAATTTCTTACCCTCTTCCCCCTCATGTTGCCCACCATTTTCCCCCTCACGTTCCCCTCCCTTTTTCCCCTCACATTTTCTGCCCTTTCTCCTCTCACACTTCCTGCCTTTTCCCTTCATATTTCCTGGCTTTTTTCCCTCATATTTTCTTCCCTTTTCCCCCCTCACATTTCCCACCCTTTCCCCCTCACCTTTTCTACCCTTTTTCCTCTCACACTTCCTGCCTTTTTCCCTCTCTTTTCCCCCTCAGCCTCCCCACACTCAAGTTTTTTTTCCCCATTATCTCCTCTTTTCCCCATCCCTCCCCCTTTCCCCTCAAATTTCTTACCCTCTTCCCCCCTCATGTTTTTTTCCCCATTTTCTCCTCTTTTCCCTATCCCTCCCCTTTTCCCCTCAAATTTCTTTCCCTCTCCCCCCTTCCCGTTTCCCATCATTTTCCCCTCACATTTCCCACACTTTTCCCTCCCTCACGCTCCATCACAGACACTCAGCAGCTCATTAAGAAGCAGAAATATCTCTTTAATGACATTTTCACCCCCCAAATTAAGGCCTCGGCGGTGTCCCCCTCCCCAAGACCCCCTTGTGATCCCAACTTCCCTCCAGGCACTTGATCCCAGAGCCCCAAAATCGCCAGATCCCGCCCCATAGAGGATGCAGAACCCATTTAGCACCCAACCCCACCCTGGGGTGACCCCAGACCCCTGCCAGGGCTGGATCCCACCCCACAGAGGAACCAGGACCCCCACTGGGGTCCCGTTATCTCCCCAGAGGGGACCCCCACCCTGATAAGGACCAGGAATGCCCCAAAAAAGGATCCAGGGCTCCCATGAGGGGCTCGATCTCACTCCACGGGGAGACCCCAGACCCCCATTAGCATCCCGATCCCACCTGGTCACCCCCAGACCCCCATTAGGGGCTCAATCCTGCCCTATAGAGGGTCCAGGACCCCCATTAGGGGCTTGATCCCACCCTGGGGAGACCCCAGACCACCAGAGAGGCTGGATCCCACCCTGGGGTGACCCCAGACTCGCAGAGAGGTTGAATCCCACCCTGGGGTGACCCCCAGACCCCCATTAGCGGCTCAGTCCTGCCCTACAGAGGGTCCAGGGCTCCCATGAGGGGCTTGATCTCATCCCATGGGGAGACCCCAGACCCCCATTAGCATCCCGATCCCACCTGGTCACACCCAGACCACCATTAGGGGCTCAATCCTGCCCCATAGAGGGTCCAGGGCTCCCATTTGGAGTCTGATCCAATCCCAGGAGAGGACCCCAGACCCCCAGAGAGGCCAGATCCCACCCTGGGGTGACCCCAGACCACCAGAGATGCTGGATCCCACCCTGGGGTGACCCCAGACCCCCATTAGGAACTCAGTCTTGCCCTATAGAGGGTCCAGGGCTCCCATTAGGAGCTTGATCCCACCCTGGGGTGACCTCCGGACCCCCAGAGAGGCCGGATCCCACCCTGGGGTGACCCCAGACCACCAGAGATGCTGGATCCCACCCTGGGGTGACTCCAGACCCCCAGAGAGGCCGGATCCCACCCCGGGGTGCCCCCCAGACCCCAATCCCCCTCCAGATCCCTCTTAGGACCCCAAACCTCCACAGAAGAATCCTTTGGGAGCCTGATCCCACCCCAGCGATCACCCCAGACCCCCACAAAGACCCCGATCCCAACCTGCGGGAGACCCCAGACCCCCAGAGAGGCTGGATCCCACCTTAGGGTGACCCCCAGACCCCCAGAGAGGCCGGATCCCACCCTGGGGTGACCCCAGACCCCCGTTACTGTTCTGACCCCCCCAGTATCCCCCCCCCCCACCACCACTCACCCTGGAGACCCCCCCTCACGCCCTCAACAGCACCAACCGTCCCGTCTGCCCCAAATCCACGCCGAACGCCACCAGGTTGAGCCCGCTGAGCACGGCCACCAGCACCCTCCTGTCCCAGGCGCAGGTGGCGGGGCAGCCGTGGGGTCTCCGCGCCTGGCCGCCCACGTCGTCCGAGAAGCTGTAGAGCGCCCACAGCACCGTGGCCGCCCCGTAGGCCAGCACCCCCAGCCCCGCGTAGACCCCCAGCCCCCAGCGCATCCCCTCGGGGTCCCGCATCCAGCCGCACCACCCCCAGCCCAGCAGGCAGCCCCCCACCAGCAGCACGCCCAGCACGAAGGACACGCAGAAGATGCCCAGGCACCAGCGCAAGGCCGCCGGCCCCGACGCCGCGCCCAGCTCGGCCGACAGCCCGAGGAGGACGAGGGCGAGGAAGGCTTCGGCCACCTTGAGCAGCCCGGACGGGGTCGCCAAGTACGGGGCGGCCTCGCCGGGTCGCGCCCGGTCCCGGGCGACCTCGGCGGCGTAGGCCAGCGTGGCCACGGCCGAGGCGGCGGCGGCGGCGGCGCGGAGGGCGCGGGGGCGACCTTGGCCGCCCTCGTGCCCGCGCAGGTGGCCCAGCGGCCACAGGACGGTGGCGGTGGCGCAAGCCATGGCGGCGGCCAGCGCCAGGGCCAGCGGGAGGTCGCGGCGGGGCGGCGGGCGGCGGAGGGCGTCGTGGAGGAGGAGGAGGAGGGTGAAGACGAAGGACAAGGCCCAGGCGGACAGGCAGCCGTCGCCCTCGCCCGAGTGCCAGTAGCCCGGGGCCGCGGCCAGCGCCAGCGCCAGCAGCGCGCTGAGGGCCTGGACGCAGCGCAGAAGGGACGGGGGGCGGCACGGGGCGGGCATCGCGGCGGCTGCGGAGAGAGGGGGACAGGGTTTCGGGGGGTTACGGGGGGTTTGGGTGTTGGGGGTTTGGGTATTGGGGGGTATTGGGGGGTATTGGGGTATTGGGGGTTATTGGAGTATTGGGGTATTGGGGGGTATGGGGGTATTGGGGTATTTGGGTATTCGGGGGTATGGGGGTATTGGGGTATTTGGGTATTGGGGGTTTTGGGGTGGCTATTTGGGTATTGGGGTATTGGGGTATTGGGGGTTTTGGGTATTGGGTTTTGGGGTGGGTATTTGGGTATTGGGTATTTGGGTATTGAGGGGTCTTGGGGTGGGTATTGGGGGGTTTTGGGGTGGGGATTGGGTTGGGTATTGGGTATTTGGATATTGGATATTGGGTGCTGGGTGGGTATTGGGGGGTATTTGGGTATTTGGGTATTGGGTATTGGGTATTTGGGTATTGGGTATTGGGGTGCTGGGTGGGTATTGGGGGGTTTTGGGGGGTATTTGGGTATTGGGGTGTTTTGGAGTGGGTATTGGGGGGCTTGGGGGGTTTTGGGGTGGGTACTGGGGGGTATTTGGTTATTGGGGGTAAATTTTTAATTTTAGTTTTCTTTTTGTAATTTATTTTTTAATGGGGTTGGGGTTAAATTTTTACCTTTATTTGTGTGGGGTTTTTTTTCATAATTTATTATTTAATGGGGTCCGGGGGTTAAACATTTACTTTTTTTTGTGGGTTTTTTTTTTTGATAATTTATTTTTTAATGGTATTTGGGGTAAATTTTAAAACTTTTTTTTTTTCTTTTTGTAATTTATTTTTTAATGGAGGGCTGGAGAGGGTTTTGGGGGAGTGGAGAGGATTTTGGGGGGCTGGAGAGGATTTTGGGGAGGCTGGAGAGGGTTTTGGGGGGCTGGAAGGAGTGAAGGAAACTGGGATTTTGGGGGGGGGGATTCCCTGCACTGGGGGGATCCTGGGGTTCCCCCCGGGGGTCCCGGGGGTCCCGGGGGTGGGCGCGGTCAGGGCTGTGCCCATAAAAGGCCTCGGAAAATTCTCCTTCCTCTCCCCCCGCCCCCGCCTCATCCCCGCCCCGGCCGGGCGCTGGCTGCATCCTGTGGGTGATGGGCGGGGGTCCCGGGGGACGGGGAGACCCCCGGGGGGCGGGGGAGACCCCCGAGGGGAGGAGGAGACCCCCGAGAGGCGGGGGAGACCCCAAAGTTCTGGGGGAGACCCCCGAAAGGCGAGGGAGACCCCAAGGATATGGGGGAGACCCCAAGGATATGGGGGAGACCCCAAGGATATGGGGGAGACCTCCGAGGGGCGGAGGAGACCCCCGGGGGACGGGGGAGACCCTCGAGGGGCGGAGGAGACCCCAAAGTTCTGGGGGAGACCCCCGGGGGGCGGAGGAGACCCCCGAGGGTCCCGGGAGACCCCAAGGATCTGGAGGAGACCCCCGAGGGGCGGAGGAGACCCCAAAGTTCTGGAGGAGACCCCCGAGAGGCGGAGGAGACCCCAAAGTTCCGGGGGAGACCCCCGAGGGTCCGGGGAGACCCCCGAGGGGCGGGTAGACTCCCGAGGGGGCGGAGGAGACCCCAAAGTTCCGGGGGAGACCCCCGAAGGGCAGAGGAGACCCCAAAGTTCTGGAGGAGACCCCCGAGGTCCGGGGAGACCCCCGAGGGTCCCGGCACTCACCCGAGCGCGTTCGGGCTGTTCCGGAGGAGTTTTTGGGGAGTTCGGTTCGGGTCCTTACGGACGGGACGGTGCCGGTTCGGGTCCCGGTTCGGGGTCCCGGTTCGGGGTCCCGGTTCGGGGTCCCGGTTCGGGGTCCTGGTTCGGGGTCCCGGTTCGGGTCCCGGTTCGGGGTCCCGGTTCGGGTCCCCTCCGGGCGGGTTCCGGTCCCTTGGCGCGGGACGCTGCCGGTTCGGGTGGTTCGGGACGGTTCGGGTGGTTCGGGACGGTTCGGCTCCTCCCGGCTCGGGCGGTTTGGGACGGTTCGGGTCTCTCCGGAGCGGTTGGGCTCCTCCCGGTTCGGGACGGTTCGGGTCTGTCCGGAGCGGGTTCGGGACGGTTCGGTTCCCTCAGGCGGGTTCGGGACGGTTCGGTTCCCTCAGGCGGGTTCGGGACCGTTCGGTCCCTCCGGAGCAGTTGGGCTCCTCCCGGTTCGGGTGGTTCGGGACGGTTCGGCTCCCTCGGGCCGGTTCAGGACCGTTCGATCCCTCCGGAGCAGTTGGGCTCCTCTCGGTTCGGCTCCTCCCGGTTCGGCTCCCTCAGGCGGGTTCGGGACCGTTCGGTCTCTCCGGAGCTCCTCCCGGTTCGGCTCCTCCCGGTTCGGCTCCTCCCGGTTCGGTTCCCTCAGGCGGGTTCGGGACCGTTCGGTCTCTCCGGAGCTCCTCCCGGTTCGGCTCCTCCCGGTTCGGCTCCTCCCGGTTCGGTTCCCTCAGGCGGGTTCGGGACCGTTCGGTCTCTCCGGAGCTCCTCCCGGTTCGGCTCCTCCCGGTTCGGCTCCTCCCGGTTCGGTTCCCTCAGGCGGGTTCGGGACCGTTCGGTCTCTCCGGAGCTCCTCCCGGTTCGGCTCCTCCCGGTTCGGCTCCTCCCGGTTCGGTTCCCTCAGGCGGGTTCGGGACCGTTCGGTCTCTCCGGAGCTCCTCCCGGTTCGGCTCCTCCCGGTTCGGCTCCTCCCGGTTCGGTTTCCCTCAGGCGGGTTCGGGACCCTCCGAACAGTTTCGTGTCCACGTTCGGGCCCCCCCCCGAGCGAGTTCGGCTCCCTCCGGGAGTGTTCGGCTCCCGCTTCGAGTCCAAGTTCGGCTGTTTCCGGAGCGGTTCGGCGCCTCCCGGTTCGGCTCCGCTCGGGCCGGTTCGGGTGTCTCCGGAGCGGTTCGGCGCCTCCCGGTTCGGCTCCGCTCGGGCCGGTTCGGCTCCCTTCGGGTCTCTCCGCCGGGCCGGTCCCGCTCGCGCCGCTCCGGGCGGTGCCCCAGGGGGCGTGGCCGGCGGGGTGTGACGTCACGGGGGTCCCGGGAATGACGTCACGGCATCACCACGAACCGGGCGGGGGTCCCCGGGGCGGGGGGGGGTCCCCGGGGCGGGGGAGGGGCCCCCACGTGCGTCCGCAGCCCGTGGGTGGGTGGGTGCCACGGGGGGGACGAAGGGCGGCGCCCCCGCCCCTCCCCCCGCTGGTTTTTGGGCCGTTTCGGGCTGTTTTGGGAAGTTTGGGCCGTTACCGGGACAACGCGGCCGCCACCGCCCCAAATATTGACGCGGTTGCCGCGGGAACGGGGGGGGAGGGGCTCAGGGCCCGGGGGGGTCGCGGGGACCCCCCAGACTCAGCCGGGGGGTGGGGAGGGGTCCCTCGCGGCTCAGCACCTGTGGGAGGAGGGGGCTTGGGGGGGCACCCGCGCGTCCAGGACCCCCCACCCATAGGGCTGGGACCCCACCCATGGGGCTGGGACCCCACCCATGGGGCTGGGACCCCACCCATAGGGCTGGGACCCCCACCCATGGGGCTGGGACCCCCACCCATAGGGCTGGGACCCCCCCCATGGCACCGGGACCCCCACCCATAGGGTTGGAACCCCCACCCATAGGGCTGGGACCCCACCCATGGCACCGGGACCCCCACCCATAGGGCTGGGACCCCACCCATAGGGCTGGGACCCCCACCCACGGCACCGGGACCCCCCACCCATAGGGCTGGGACCCCACCCATGGCACCAGGACCCCCACCCATAGGGCTGGGACCCCCACCCACGGCACCGGGACCCCCCACCCATAGGGCTGGGACCCCACCCATAGGGCTGGGACCCCACCCATAGGGCTGGGACCCCACCCACGGCACTGGGACCCCCCACCCATAGGGCTGGGACCCCCACCCATAGGGCTAGGACCCCACCCACGGCACCGGGACCCCCACCCATAGGGCTGGGACCCCCCCTCATGTCCCAGAACCCCTCTATGGGTGCCAGGACCCCCACCCAAGGGTGCCAGCCCCCCCGTGCCCCCACCTCTCTCAGGACCCCCACCCAAGGGTGCCAGCCCCCCGTGCCCCCACCTCTCTCAGGACCCTCTCCCGCAGCTCTCGGGGGCTCAGGGGTCTCTCCTCCTCCTCCTCCTCCCTGGGGGGCGGGGGGGATGTGGGGGGCACCCTTGGGTGCTGTGACCCCCCCCACCCCGCTGCCAGGGTGGGTCTGGGGGGTCCCGGGGGGCTCACCTGGGGCTGGGGGGGCGCAGAGGGGGGGGGCGGCTCCAGCGGGGCTCGATCCCTGCCAGGACCTGGGGGGGACCCCAAAATTGGGGGGGACACCAAAACTGGGGGGGACCCCCAAATTGGGGAGGACCCCAGACCCCGAGCAGGGACCCCAAACCCCGAGCGGGGACCCCCAAAATTGGGGGGGGACCCCAAGCCCCGATTGGGGACCCCAGACCTCGAGGGGGGACCCGAAAATTTTGGGGGACCCCAAACCCCGAGGGGGGACCCCCAAACCTGCAAGACCCCCAAATTCTCCCCAATGAACCCCCAAATTCTCCCCAATGAACCCCCAAATTCTACCCATGAACCCCCAAATTTTTCCCCAATTATCCCCCAATATTTCCTCAATGAACCCCAAATTATCCCCGTGAACCCCAAAATTTCCCCAGTGAACCCCAAATTATCCCAAATGAGTCCCCAAATTATCCCAAATTAGCCCCAAATTCTCCCCCATGAACCCCCAAATTTTTCCCCAATTATCCCCGTGAACCCCTAAATTTTCCCCAATGGACCCCAAATTTTTCCCCATGAACCCCCAAATTCTCCCAATGAACCCCCAAAATTTCCCCATGAACCCCAAATTATCCCCGTGAACCCCAAATTCTCCCCCAATGAACCCAAAATTGCCCCCCCAAAACCCCCCGACCTCCCCTTCCCAAACTCCCAGTCACTCCCAGTGCTCCCAGTCTGTTCTCCCAGTCCTTCCCAGTACTCCCAGTTTGTGTTCCCAGTCCCTCCCAGTGCTCCCAGTTGTTCCCAGTACTCCCAGTTTGTGTT